GGAAACTCCGAAGGTTCAGAAAGGTAAAGGACACGTTTTGCAGCTGAATGCTGACCTGTACCAGGAGGTAAAGAAAGCATCTGTGTTCCTCTTGGCCCCTGAAACAACAGAAGGGTCTGATGGAGTCAGAAGAAAGGGAAGATGAATCTTCGTGCCAGAACCAGTCCACCAAGATGTCCTTCAGCAGTACCATGACCTTCCTGCGTTTGGACACCCTGGAGTAAAGGCAATGACGAAGAAAATGAACAAATACATATGGTGGCCTGGAATGTACCAGTCCATCTGCAACTACTGCAAAGGTTGCCCTTCTTGCCAGGCAAACAAGGTCAATACACACCCAACCACTCCACCTATCATGCCACACAACAGTAGCAAAGAACCCCTTCCCATTCAAACAGATCTCCATGGATCTGGTTACTGACCTGCCCCTGTCCAGCAGAAAATACGACTTGATCCTCACCGTCATTGACCAAGGACTAACCAAAGGCACGTTCTTCCTACTGACTACTAAAACTGTGGATAGTATCAGTATAGCAGACCTCTACCACACGTACATCTACCCTCATTGGGGTGTACTGAGAGGCTGTTATCTCAGACAGAGGCCCCCAATTCATCTCTGCCTTCACAAGGGACCTGTACTGCTCCCTCAGAATCGAGTTGAAAGCCTCCACCATGTACCATCCACAAACCAATGGCGAAGTGGAATGTGTAAATCAAGAAGTCGGCACATACCTGCACATGTATGCAGACATGGACCCCCACAACTGGCACACCAAACTCCCAGATGCTCAAATGGCACATAACTTGTGTGTGCACTTGTCCCACAACCAGACACCATATTCACTCATGTACAGATTCGACCCTGCACCCTATCCCACAGACAAACCCCACAGGAGTCGTTAGCAGGTGATCAACTCAAGCAACTGGCCACCAATTGGGATGCCATGATTATCGCTCATAAAGAAGCACAGGAGTTAATGAAACAACAATTGAAAGGAAGCTATACGGAGTTCTCCATAGGAGATAAGGTTTGGTTGGATGCTTCTGACCTAAAAAGGGATGTCCCATCACGAAAGCTTGCGCCCTGATGCCACAGCCCATTTGTAATTTCCAAATGGATCAGCCTGGTCACCTACAAGCTCCAGCTGCCCCCTAGCTGGCATATACACCCTGTTTTCCATGCATCCAAACTCACTCCTTTCATCAAAACACACGAGTATGGCCTGGCACAACCACTGCCTGTTACACCTCCATCAGGGGTCTTTCCTTTTTCGGCTCCTCGCGGTCACATGCATCACATGCCTTGTCATGTCCCTCATAACTGTCGCCATCCTAGGGGCTTGAATGCTCCAGGGAATGTACAGATCCCCCACTGTCAAGGTATTTCCAATACCTGTCGAGACTATGCCACCACTGTGATCTGGCATTCCACTGCCCTCTCTGATGGACAACTTGTTCATTTCTTGGTCCCTGTTGACTTGTTTATATTGCTTACATGTTGTACTATAGCTCCAGTGTCTGGCTCCTTGCTGCACATTGATTGCGCCAGCCAGTATAGCCTTTGTTGCCTCCCTACCCCCACCTTTGACACCACATGACTCCTATTTATTTGACTGATTGTTTTGTTGACTACTGTGGATATGCATCGTGACTGGTACAGTACTCGTACTTAGGGGTATATAATCCTACATACTTCATCCTGTATCTGCAGTTTTTTGATAGCTTGCAACTGAGCTTCATCCCTTTATCTTTGTCCTTGTTCTCTCTCCACGCGAACAACCTTAGGGACTCGCCAGCAGACAGAACCTCTGTCAGATCAAGATAATAACTCAGCCATAGGGGTTATGACAAGTTTGGCCTGTAGACTCCCACCTCGCATGCTTCGTGCCTATTCCATTTGAAGAAGTCACCATGCTCAGGCATAACACCGCCTCCACCTGAATTGGTAGGAGATGAGAATGAATGGGAAGTTGAGGCTATACTTAAACATAAACGTGCATGCAAGGTCAAGTCATCATCCAAAGAGCCCGGTGTAACCCTGCAGCAAAAATACCTCTATCTGGTCAAGTGGCTCAGTTACCCGCACTCCCAAAACAGCTGGGAGAGTGAGGACAACCTTATAAATGCCCCAGAGGTTCTCGGGGAGTACAAGCATGTTCACAACCTCTGAACATGATATGTCCTACACCCCCAACACTGAAAATCCCAGCTCTGACTACTTTGACAATGACTTCCATGCCAACATCGATGAACCCTATGACCCATCTCACCCATACTTTGATCGCTATGCCAGCACCCCTCCATGCCTCTCAGAACCACCTGTATGCCCCCATGGAGTGCTATGCTCCCCATCCCCTGCAGTATCCTCCCACTCCTCATATGCAGGGGCTTACCAACCCCTTCATGACTCTGTTGCCTCCACCTTGTGCCCATACCTGTACCCAGTCATCCACTCAGTCCCCTCTTCGCAGAGAGCTTGTAAGGACGCCCACAAGGGAAAGTCCAAGGCTCACTCAGGACCATCTGAACCTCACTATGATGCCTCTTTCAGACCCTGCAACACGCCCCCACTCTCCCAAGCTGGTTATAGATCCCCCTTGCCTCTCCCCTGCTCTGGTACATCTGCTCCAGCACCATCTGTCACACCAGCCAACCTCTTGGCCCCCACAGTTACACCTGCAGCCCCCTCTATGACCAAATGGGTGGCTCCTGAGGCAAGCATCTTCCTTGGTTATGTGTGGCTGCTTAACGACTTCGAGCGCTGGGAATCACACAGCTGGAGAGCAGGAGAATGTCATGAACATCTATGGGTGTTGTCTAAGATCTTCAGAAGCTCAGAAGTGATTGGTAAACAAGTACATGACCAGGTAGGGACCGCAGAAGCAAGTTTCGAAGTGCATACATACGAGGACATTGACAAAACCAACTCCTCCATCCTCCAAGAAGCTCTTAAGACCCAAGAGGCCATTGTCAAAATCATCCATGAAGACTACGGCCCCTCCCTCATTTCTTCCTTTTGCGCCTTCCTCGACTGAACCCCCCTCAACATCGTGGTTCGTGGGTTCCTCCCTCTGACATGTCAAGCAATGTCTGGAAGATCAGGCCTACCTGAGGACCCTCTCGGAAGAGAGGCATGTGAGGTCTTGGAAGAAAGGACCAGAGTTAAAGCCAGAGGAGGTGGAGAAGCTGAAGGAGATGTTGAACAGAGGTGTCATGATTGCTGGGAGAAGATTATACCAGGCCAAGGTCGAGAACACTTCCAAGCCATCGCAGATGCCCTCACTGCAGTCCCCTTCAATGGATCACCCCACAACTGGCTTGACTTCTTCGCCCAGGCCTGAGGTGACGCCGCTGGAAGGGCCCTCTTCTATGCTCATCACACATCAAGAGCTCTTCCAGCAACTCCCTTTGTCCCTGTACCTATCTCCTCTCTCAGCAAGAGAGAACTTGGTGGGCTCATTCCCGTCAATTGGCAGCATCCCCTGCATCAATTTGCCTGCTACCGATGTTCATGCCTTGGACATTGGTTGTCTAACTGCCCAACTCGCAGTGGCAACTAACTCCAAAATCCACTCGTGGGTAGTCCAAGGCCTTTATTTGCCTTCGGAGGACCTCAGGCCTTGAGGGGGGGTGATGTTATGCTGCGCTCACATTGTTCCCTCTTACAGACACTTACATAACCCATTCACACTTCATCTCGCCTCTTGAGGTGTTCCCTTTACCTGCAAGCCACTGTCTACACAGTTGGACTTGTGTTCCATACATTTCCCCTTCTCTGTTTCCTTTTATGGTAGACCCCTGTCTACCCCACATTGTGTTATAGCCAGGCATTGCACCCATTCCCCTTCCTTCTGTGATCTGCTGGTGGCCCTGATCCATGCAGTCATGTGATGCATTTAACCCTGGTTGAACACTCCACTTATGACTCGTACGTGGTTAATCCCTCTCACCTGTGCAGGTTTAATCCCTCGTTTACCCCTGTTCCCTTCTGTCCACAGTATGGTTGCCCTTGCACCCTCTGCTTTAGGGAACTGGTGAGCGATTAACCTTGTATTCAAATGTTTGACATACTGGTACTGTACATACATATATAAACCCACATGTATCATACCAGTCCCTCATTCGAAATCTACTTTGCAACCACCCTTAGCTCTGCACACTGTACCAACAAGGACTCGCCAGTATGACTTCAGTTGGCCAAGACTAGTGTTCCATTGCTAGTGAAGTTAAATTACACGTCACTTCTCACACAGTCATGTGCTTGTGCTTCATCACACTCAATTCATGATGCGATACGAGTCATCAGCATAACAGGTGCCAGGGTGGTAGTGATGGCAGCATGGGAAGATGCCAATGGAGAGGTGATAGTTGGAGTGTGAGGAATTTGTTCTTTGTGCAGATGAGTACTGCCAGATTTTGACCAACTCATCCAGACATGATTTCAATGATGAATTGGGTAATGGCAAATTATTTGAGGAGTTGGACAAGTGCCAGGATAAATTTGTAATGTATGCACAAACAGCATTTGGGAATGGTGGCACTGATGCTGAGTCACCAGATGAAGATGCTGCTCCATGGTCAAGGCAGAGAAAGAGCAATGGGAAACCTAAAACCATCCTGCTGGTCAGTGAAAACAGCACACTGTACATCCTGAACATATTGGACATGTGGGCACCAAAGTTGAAGGATATCATGCAGACATTTGTGACATTTCACTATCGTATGTATAACAATAGGGGAAATACTGTTCATTGAAATGCATTACAGGGAAGGCCTGCAGGAATTCACAGGCAACTGTTCCATGGAGTGCGATAACAACCAACACTGCACTTTATATTGCACCACAGGTTCTGCCACCTGAGGTTCCCTTCAAAGAGCCAAGTCAACTTACCCAGGACAAGTTGACAGCAATCTTAGAATGGTGGCAAGAGAGAAAAGAGCAGCATCCCAACAATATATTCAGCTTCAAGAAGTGGAGAGATGCTGGGGGGTCCCTCTGAATGCCAGTGGCAGAGGCTGACAGCAGTGGAGTGAGGATGTGTGCGAAGCAGGATTTGGATGGGAGACCAGAACACTCAGCAGGTGAAAGGATGATGGATAAAATGATGTGGGGTAGGAGGAAGCTGTGATGGCAAACAGGTATGAAGGAATGCAACTGGAACTTAAATGTGCTGCAATATTATCTAATGGGGAACAAAGTTGTAGGGTCTGATTCTGACGATGAATCCAATCTCTGTCAAATTCCACCAACATTACTATCAAACAGAAATGATGGTACAGGCACGGGCATGGTGGATGAAGACACTGCAGAGGCAGTATCATTGCCAGATTCCCAGTGGTGGATTGCCAGATGCCAAGTGGCTGAGGGTAACACCTGCCAGCCAATTGGTAAGCCAGCAGGATCACAACAGCTGAATATTGTTAACATTAATGGCTGACATGTTTCAGCCATCAGCAAGGAACCATCAAATGCCTTGCAGCAGGTTGAGGGCAGCATCACAAGCCCTGTGCAACCTGTGCCTGATGCCTGCTGCATTGATTTGCCTGATTCAGTCCATCTGGCAGATCCTTTGGCAGTGCCAACAACTATCAGGAGAGACCATAAACAGGAAGATTCAAAGTGCAAGTTGCCCATTCCATTGATGAGTCAGTACTTGTGCCATGGTCACTGAATTGTGGATTCAATTTATCTCTCAATCCTAGTACCCATGCACTGGACCAGCATAGACAATATGAGGGGTATGTGGCAATCAAAACAGGTGTGGAAGGCACCAAAGCAGCCTGATGACAATGTTCCTACTCCTAGTCCCTCCAAGAAACATAGGCAATGTTAGCATTTGTATTTTACATGGCCATGGAATGTGATACTACATTTTGACAGCCAATGGCTGCATTACAACAAATCCTCATCCAGTTCCAATTCATCCTTGCCATCCCAATTGCTGGTCATCAAATCTTGTATATATTGCTGAGTCCTTTCCAGCTGCACTCTCCTTGCAAGCAACAGGTGGAACCAGATGCTTGATTGCACCAATATATTGCTGTAGTGGTTGTAGGCTGCAATGATTGGCCCATCAGTAGTGGTGTTAAGATGGGGCAGGTGCTCATCAGTCAGTCCCACAAGAAGAACTGCAAGCTGCCATGCTTTTTCCACTGCTGGATGATTGATATATATGTGAGGGATATCATAAAACAACTTACATGTTGTAATTGGCCCTTTGTCATGAAGTCCTTGTATACCCAAGTCACTGGAGAAATGTTGCAGCACTGAAAAGCGAGCTAATACACTTAATACTGGCAGCAACAAGAGATGACATGGTACTGACCAGCAGTGGCATTGGTGGCTGTAGGCTGGGGGGATGGTTGCCATGATATAGCTGGGATGGGCTGTGGCTCAGAGGCTGCTGCACCATCTAACCACTCATCCATATATGCATGAACCATGGGAGATGGCACAGTTTGTGGAATTTGTGCAGATGCCAGCAATGATCTAGGTGGGGGTGAGACTGCCAGGGAAGATGTTGGTGAATCCCAGCTAGGTGCAATGGCAGCCAAGGATGGCATGGAATGACTTGCTTGCCACACCTCCCATTGTTGATCAGCAGCAGATGGCTGCAACTCCAGTGAAAGTGGTGGTGAGTCCCAAGATGGCACAAGCATGCTGAGTGATGGCAGGGAAGGGCTGGCATTTGGTGGCATGGAGGATGATGGTGATCCTAGCTGATGGCCTGAAGCTGTGGCATTTGTGGCTGCACCAAATGGTAGAAATTCTGGCTCATCTACAACCATATCTGTATTGTCAGCACCTGGCAATACCTGCAGTTTATTACATGGGGAGATGACTGGTGAAGGTTATTGATAGTTGTATCTTATAACAACTACTTACGTCAAGTGTCCAGACTGCCTGGCCTCCACCTTACTGACTTTTGCTCCATGATATTCAGCAATCTGTAAAATGTTGATAAGTTGATTGCAATGTCAGATTTGGCTATTTTGGCTTGTTTGTCTACTGGCCAGTGTTGATGCCAGCACAATGGTTCATGAAAATATAAAATGCAGCTGCACTGCTGATGCAATTGTCAACTATCACTTGACTGCACTGCTCTTGCACCAGTACCCCACTTCCACAAAAATGTCCCAACATGCTGAAGCATCCCAAACTGCTGCCACCACCACTCCCTCCATCACTCTCCCACATGAAATAGTCACTAATGCTGCAGACATAGTCATGGCAGAGCTTCTGACACTCCATGACCACAGGAACAAGCAATACTGGAAAAGAGCTATGCATGTCATTTGGGAACAGTTGGTTTGTGGCATGCCAATCTATTTATCCTGCAATATTTACAACATTCCAGACCCATGTGTGCCCTTTGGTTGAGGAACTGCCCTCAAAATTCACCATCCCTACCCACATCATCACTGCTGAAATGATTATGAGAGATCTGGTGGTGCTTATGGTGTTGAAGGAGTGGCTGAACTTTGACAAGATCAGAGATGCAAAGGATGCCAATGTCACAGACCATCCATGGTACCAGATTGGAAGGCCCATTGATAAGGGCAAAGGGCATGCAGTTCCATTAGACCCACTTCAGACAAGTGACAATGCTGCTGCCACCACTGAGACTTTGGAAGAACCCTGCAGCTGACCCCATGTAGTCCATTTAGTCACAACATATAGGTAGCCTGTGTGCCAAAATGCCAACACTTATATAGACCCTGTGATGGGCCCCTCTAAATAGATTAGCCATGACACATGGACAGGCCTGAGGGCCTATAGTGAGAGCAACATATGTACAGGCCCATAAACACAATTCCACATCATATGGGAGGGCCTGTGGAGGGTAAGGATGCTGCAACATATAGATGGGCCCGTGACCAAGTAAGTATGCTAAGCTACTGTAAGACATGGATGGGCCCACCTATTGTATCATGAAGAAGGTCACAACATATGGATGGGCCCGCCCATCATATGCTTTATAGGGTTGCAACATATGGATGGGCCTGCCTGTCATATGCTTTATAGGGTCACAACATAAAGAGGGGCCCATCTATGATAGATTACAGAGTTGGCAACATATGGAAGGGCCAGTCTTTGGGATAATATACCCCTGTCACAACATATAGATGGACCCATCCATAGCAAGATGTATGCCTGTCGCAACATAAGGACAGGCCTGTCAGTAATATCATTGACAGTGTCACAACACATAGACAGGCCCATCTAGTAAGATGCATCCCTGCCACAACATAAAGATGGGCCCATCAGTAATGTCATTTATAGCATCACAACATATGGATGGGCCTTTCCATAATACCATTTATACCATCACAACACATGGGCAGGCCCATCCATAGTAAGATGTACCTGTTGCAACATAAAGACAGGCCCTTCAATATATATCTTTTACAGGGTCACAACACATGGATGGGCCCATCTAGTAAGATGCACCCATGTCACAACATAAAGATGGGCCAGTCAGTATTATCAATTACATTGTCACAACAGATGGACAGGCCTGTCTAGTAAGATACACCCTTGTCACAACATAAAGACAGGCCCATCAGTAATATCATTTACAGTGTCACAACACATAGATGGGCCCATCTAGTAAGATGCGCCCCTGTCACAACATAAAGATGGGCCCATCAGCAATATCATTTACAGTGTCACAGCACATAGATGGGCCTGTCTAGTAAGATGCACCCCTGTCACAACATAAAGACAGGCCCATCAGTAATATCATTTATAGTGTCACAACATATGGAAGGGCCCTTCAGCAGTATCATTTATGTGGTCACAACATAAGGATGGGTCCTTCAGCAGTATTATTTATATGGTCATAACATATGGATGGGCCCTTCAGTAATATCTTTTATATTTCGATAAAACCAGGACAGGTCTGTCTAGTAAGATCCACCCCTGTCACAACATAAGATGGGCCCAACACCAATAGCACATATAGCATCACAACATATTGATCGGATCACAGCAAAATATTGAGGCAAGTGTCCCAACATGCCATAATTTTCCAACAAGCTGCAAGTGGCTTGCCTGCTATACAATTCCAACCTCATCCACCCCAAGCATGAATACTATGCAAGACATGTCTATAAACCCCCCATGGATGGTGAATGGAACTAACAGACTGCATTGCATCATATATGAAAGCCAGATTTCAAGAGGAGGTATTCAGCAGACCTTGCGCCCTTCCAGATATATCAATTCCATTTCCAGTGTTATGTGAAGTGGATCACATATTGTCAGTAATCTCACAGGCCTATCATCACCCAAGTAAGTCCATCATAATGGTGCGATGGAAGTTTTCATCTTTCCACAGTCAATGTCAGGAAAATTCAGGGTGGAAAAACCTGTGATGCAGAAGCTGCTGAGAGATACATGGAAGTGACTGAGCTGTCCATTCTGGTGACTGACTCAAACACCATCTGCATTTGGTATTTGCTGGATGCTCTCAGCCCAAAAAGAAGGGTAAGGGAATGCAGAATCTCATATTCTACTGACTTAATGCAATGGCAGGCCGACGTATGGAACCACCTTTATCTTCTGAGGGAACCACTGCAGGAGAGCATAAAGGCTTCCCCACAGGCATGGCAGACAGACAAGTCATATTTCTGTGATAATGCTGAGTTGAAAGGTGCCATCAACCTGTCACCTGCATGGTTTCAACAGGGTCATGGGGTGGGTGATCATTTCTTTCCTTGTGAATAAAGCACTCATCTGTCTTGAAGCCCCAAAATGGTTTCCCAGAAGCCTCATGGCTGCTCAAATCCAGGATGGAAAACACTTCTACAAGGGAATGGGTCAACCAAATGTCTGACACCAATGCCCTGTTATCTGTGATCCTGCATGTCATCCATCCACCAATGTATGCAGATGGCAGGGAAGCATTGATCTGCCTTGGCAAACAGGCAGAACAGCGGGTGGATTCAGATATGAGCTCCATACTGCTGATATGGAGCTCCACATATAGCAGCATGTCCGTGATGGTGAATTGGGCAACTTGTTACCACAGGGATATCAATGGATGGGATCCATGGTATGACATGCTGGTAACTGTGGGTGACTACCTGCCCTTGGACTTTGTCATTCCAACATTGAATCTGCAGCTGTGCTACAACCCAGGGATGATCATTGCATTTTCAGGTTCAGCACTGGAGCATGGGGTGGGAGCTGTAGACAGTGACAGAGCATGCCTGGCATACTACATGCATGCCAATGTACATCAGTTGGTGCATGTTCCCATGTGTCAATCACTGTGGATGGATGACCTACTACCTAGACCAGTTGCAACTGGACAACTGTTGATTTGAAGCTGCAAAATTCAATGTAAGATTTAGTAGGCAATGTGGATCTTGTATTTTATTAGGATATACTGGCTCTTGAACTTTGGATGGGTGGTGTTGCCAAGATTTTGCAAATGGGTGGGTGCTTCAACATCATAGATTGGGTGGGTACTCAGAGCTAAAGGGTGTGCATCATAAACTGCAAAAAAAATAAACCTACTCAGGCCATCATGCAGATGGGCAGATTGTCGGACATCGCATGGATGGGCAGGGGTTCAGACATCATGTGAATGGGTGGCATCTCATAAATGATTGACATTTACAGCAATGTATATTCAACCAACTCCACAGTCAAAAACATGTAAACTATTGAAGCAGCATGCCCAACAACCCGCACAATGCCCACCACCTAGTGTAGAAATGGTCAATTTGTCAACCCCGACCACTGACAACATTGGCATATTTCCAGATATTTTCGATGCAGTAGTTTACCTGCTCCTCAATATGGCCATCAAGACAGTCTGTGATTGGCACATCAGGCAATGGCCACAAGCCCTGGGCCATCATCAACTATTTGCAGTGACAAGAATAAGCAGCATACCTTAAAAAAATCCCAGGCTGTGGAAAACAATCCCTTGCCTTGCAATCTTTGGGAATCCACTGCATATTCCTTGGAACAATATAGCCACCAAGGGAATGCAAAGCCAGAATTGGGATCAGCTGTGTGTGGGGTCCAATGTGGGATGATGGTGCTGATATTGTCAATTATGCTAAATGTGCAAAGGGGCATTAGCTGTATTTGATCACAGAAGCTAACCTCATCATCTTGGTGTCTGAGGTACACATGGTAGCATGCCAGGAGGGGAGGAGTATAACTGGCATGCAACACCATCAGAAGAATCCAGCTATTAAGCTGATTCTGAAGGAATTATGTATCAGTCACACATTGTGAAAAATTGATGTAAAACCTACCAAGTCCATTGCTAGGTTTGCAAACCAATGCATGGGCCATCCCATGATATTGGCAGTCTGCTTCAGATGTACAGAGGCCACCTCGATCTGGCACACCAAGTAGAGGATACCCATCTCTACCACAGACTGGCAAGATGGGTGTGATTGGCTGGTGATGAATGGCTCAGGACAATTTTCAAAGGCAGAATGTGGATAATGAATGACTTTCATCAAATCAAGCATATTGACAAGTCAAAGGCCCTGAGAGGCTGCACCATACTGGTCCCTTGCAGCTGTGCCCAATTCTCTCACAATGGCATTTGCAGCCTGCACAAGGTGCCTATTGAGGGTGGGATCAAATGGTGTGTTGCTGGGAGTGGTGTTTCTGTGATAGTGAGATACCACAGCATGTAAGGCACACAGGACTAAAATTATCAATGTCAAAGGTGTATCAGATTAAGCTCATGCCCATACCTTGATTGCATTGTGGAACAGGTGCCAATCCCCATTGTTCCATTTGAAGAGATTGCTGTGCAGATGGGAGTTCACCTACATAATCGATGGATATCACTGATCACATGAATAGAACCAAATAAATGCTCACTGTTGCATATTTCCTTGAAAAGATCCCTCATCTCTGATCATTCAGGCATGCCAAAAGTCAAACGGTTTGCACCATTGTCCTCATCCACTGCCAAGTCAAAAGATTCGATGGGTACATTTGAAACAAGTGGGGGAGGCATTGGTTCCTTCATATCCTGCAATTGAGCAAGCAGGTTAGTCAGAGAATCAGGTCAAGGAGATCAGTCCCTCAGATATGATGATTCGCAGGTGATGGGCAGAGGAGATGGTTCCCACACATTCTGCAAGTCTGCCAGAAAATCAACCTGCATAGTAATGTCTTGTGCAGGTGTTGAAGACCCATCCATCCTGTATAATTTCTCAGGCATGACTGGCAGTGCTGATGGTTCCCA